TGAAACCCGTGCGGCTGTGACACTGTAGTTGCGAATGTTGCGGCCCGTTCCGTAAATGCCCACGGAAATCGATTCGAATGTTTATTCAGTTGCACCCGACCATTTTTTTTCGATTACTCGTCCGACGATTAATATCGATTCCGATGGCGACTCTGCGATCGTTAGGAAGTAGCCCGTTTGAGATTTCGATTTTTATACCTCGTACCTCGATGCTTTTTCGATACTGGAAGTAACGACGTAAAATTATAATTGCGAGAACGTGGCGTTGTGACGCTTAAGAATCGTTGAGAATAATTTTCTTTACGGCGTGATCGCACCCAACGGGAATCTAACATCGCGAATCGCAATTCGGTCGAAGGGCGGTAGCCGCCGCGCCTGAGCGAGCTAGGAGGCTCGTAAAATTTTAACTTCCATTCTTTTCGTTCTTTCCCGATAGCCGGTCAATAACAGAGATCCTCCGTACGAAACATACTCGAGTGCCGCAATACACTCTCCACCCTCGCGGGCACAATTTAAAACATTTGGCCCGATGACAATTTACCAAGTTTACCCCCCGGCCTCGTGTATGACACGAAATTCGTCGAACTTTTCGAACGCGCTTCCTGCGTGGTAGAAACATCGGCCGCACAAGTTCCTCTTGATAAAAGATTTACTGCCGGGGCACGTGAACAAGTTCGATTTTTCGGTGAACTCGACTCCAATTTGCCAGATTCACCTGGAAAAATCGCGTCGCGTCGTTCCATGGGTAAAATCAGAGAGACCGAAGACGTTCGAGATAAAATAAATATCGTTCGCCTGCGTGGCAAGTTTGTACGATGGATTATCTCTGGTTGATAACTGCTACGAGAATCCTCCGAGTGTATCGCGATTGAATTTTGCAGTTAGAATAACTCGAGTATCGTCGAAAGTTTCGAATGAAGAGTCAACAAGCAAAGCTGATTTTACTTTCTAGTTAACAATTAAACCGTACAATTAATTGAACTGTGTTTACTGTGAGATTAAAAGTTGATTCTCGTTCGGCGAGATCTGGAATAGCCTTCGGATTCGAAAGAAGGACGAATGGGAATTGTGTATTTTAGCGGAGATGACACTCGGTTCTCGCATGAATTTCTAAGCCTGCCGCGAAACGCGTAGTCGGGGACAATTAAACGTCTAATTTTCGGTGGATGTCGGGCGCATAAGGTATTCTGGTGATTCGAGCGTGACTACCCCATGCACATAGCTGTATACCACCGACGTACACCGCCGCAACCTTGGGTGGTGGATGACGAACACACCGCCGGGAAGTGACAGTAGCTAATTAATTAGTATCAAATGTGATTCCCTCTCACGGGCACAGCATTCTATCCGCCCGCACCACGCCGCGCCGCTTGTTACAGCTCGCGCACGGCATTTGATACAGCCGGTGATTAAGCGAGCAGACGGAAAATCCTAACTGGTTCGCAGTTGGCGTACACGCGAACTCAATTCCGGAGGAATTGCGAAGTTATAAGGATACTTTGACGCCAGGTGTTTATTAGACGCGCCGCTCTAAGGGGATTAAAATCGGGCTGGAATTCCGATTAGCTTACCTCTGAGTAACCGATTCGCTTTAGCTGACGATTGTACTCCATCCAAACGATCTAATTACTGCTACCGTCAATGAGAACGTCGACGATACACGTGGATAAGCGATCAATAATGAAAGATCCAATTCAATTCTCGTTTCGTGAAACACGAAAATGTCAAACATTTTTCTTCGTTCACGAAACGTTTATTAAAAAAATATAAACTAACGTTTCACGCGCTGTTATTGGTAACCGATGGTCATCGAGTGTTTCGAATATGTACGTATTTTACAACTTGCTTAAATATTTGAAGAGCGATCGGTGGAAAAATATTTGACACGATGTGTATCGCAGATTTTAGCCGACGCCAACAGCGTTGCGCAAACAGTTTGTCGTAACGATTATTCACGGTTAATTCGATAAATCGTGCAAATAAATAGAAAACATGTTTGCCGTTAACTCTGCGAGGCCATCGATAAACGCTCATGATTTTCCTCGCGCGTTCGAACAAACATCGATTAACTCAACAATCCGATCTTTAATACAAAAAAGAAAGATGCTCTTAAAAAATAACACGTGTTCGCAGTTTCTACGATTAAGCTTAGCTCGAAGTCAGTCGTCATTGCGAGTAAGTAGTTAAGGTAGACGAAATCTCCGACGGAATCCGTGGCCGATTTAAGAAAAAATGTCACGACTATTTGTACCCACGGAATGTCGGCCCGTCGACGCTTAATCCGCACGAATTTAAGACGCGCGACTATAATTAGTCTAGGCGTGAGAACGAGAGGTTTCAGGCTGCCGGTTAAACAGGCTATTAGCAGCAGCTGTTACGTGGCATCGGCCACATCTTGGACACTGCATTTCACGCCGCGGTTTATATTCCTCGCGCTCGTCTTCACCTCGTTTGCACATACATGCGCTAATATGCATTCCAGTCAATATTTATAACAAATCAAGACAATACAGACGAAAGAAGAATCAACGAATGACGTAGACATATAAATAGTATTAAATTTAGTAATTCACACCGTTTATAAAATTTGAAGAGAGGACGGTATCATTTTGTCTGATACAACCCGGTTTCTTCAGCTTTCCTCTGCATCGCGTGTATCCCCCTGAGGCCTTAACCGTGCCTGATTAACTTGGTATGAAATTATCCAACGACTTGGCCTAGCCCCTTCCTTCTTCCTTCCCGGTGAAGCAAACACAACCCAGTACCGCCAGTCAACCCCTCCTCGTTCTCTTCCCTATTCTCTCTCACAGCTGCAGCTTCGCAACAGTTTCACACCCTATAGCCGAACTATCCATTTACTCAGCCGTTTGGCAGGCTCGGGCATACCGTAGCGGTTGCTTGTCCGGTGCAAGCCGCTGCAGTTGCAGCTACAATTCCCCTGTGCATCGGTAAGGAGCATGCAGTCCGTGGTAGAACGAAGAGCGAGAGAGAGAGGCGGAATAGAGAGATGGTGTTAGCCGACTGTATTCTCGACCTCGTGGCTCCCGCGTGCGGTAATAGCGGTGGCTACGGTGTACCAGTCAAACGCATACCGTATTGATTTTAATATCCATGCCACGAAGGCACAGGCGACCATCAGACGCGAGGAGCAGGCGAAAACCGCGCTCGGGGTAGTTGGCCGCCGGTATTGCTCGCAACCGGCGTTTCTTATTGCAGAATTCCGTATAACGCTTTTCATTACGCGATGTTAATTACTCTGGCAAAATATATTTGTAATTCTGTCACTGCTGTCTGTGTCACGATTTTTAATCATCGACGATATTCTGCCTCGTGCATTTGATAAAAGTAATCGTGAAGGGCACAACTGTTTATTGTATGTTATCGGTTCGTTCCATCGGCGTGTAAGTAGTCAGGCAATTTGAATGCGTTTAACGGGCGCGTCGTGGAAACCGTGCTATGCGCCGCAGAGTATTATAATTGCGCCCTTAGACGGCTCTGAATGTGGGCTAACGAGTAGCCCAAAGTACAATAGTTGCCGGTGGAACACGTCGCGGTTGAAATTAATCTGATTTGCACGATCGCGGATGGTAGGGGACATTGCGACGGAGGAAGTCGGAGAATTTAACGAGAATTAATCGAGTTTGAGTATATCGGACGATTGATGGAGGCGGAGGACGCGGTAAGACAATACCTGTCCGCGTAGCTGCGGCTGTACGAACTCTCCGTGAAGCAGCCGCCGCCGCCGTCTCCCCGGGTTATCGTCGAAGACGCAAACGATGCGATGGGTGAAATGCAATTTCTGCCAGCGGCCAGAATTTATAGCGGGCCGCGAAGAATTCGTAAATAAGCGCTTTCGGCGTGCCTCGGCGTGGCTTGTCTTTGAGATATAATTAATGGCAGGTGAGCTTCTCGAACTGATGGAGCATCCCGCCATTTGTAACGGACCGTTTAACGCCCCGGCTCTGTTTTGTCCTGCTTTTTGGCCCTTCGCCTCGAATTAGCGCGGAATTTTCCCCGTTAAGTAGACCGTAGATCATTAAGTGTTTAAATATGCATGACCGAAACGTGATTGGTTGGATACCCGTGGACGAGTCTTCCTCTCCTTTCGCTATAAATAAAATCAACGAACGACGTATTGTACGTGTTTAAAGTTTACGGGAATGAAAGGTCTCGGGGAAATGCATGTATCCAGCCGAATCGGCGTCGCGATAAAACCGATGTCGACAAACGTGTTTACAGTTTTATGGGGTGTCGGCTAAATGCTACACGGATATACATGCATCGGTGCATACGTGCGAACCTTAATAACTCTCGCGTGATACGGGGACAGAAATAGGCTGGAGATTTACTGGCATGCAAGTATTTTCCATTCGCTCTTTTGCGCAAACGAGTACGACGCGTAGGTACAGAAATTTACGTCCATTTAATTGAATCGTTTAATGCCCATACCGTTTGAAAAGTCTCATTAGTAAAAGCCTGCGTCGCTCGGCCATCTGTTAATGTAATTGGAATTACTTAACGGCGAATATTTTTTGTTGCATATGAAACAAGGACACGTTTGATCTTCTGTATTGGAACACTTTTATTTTACAAAATATTACGGCGAATATATGTGCATATAAAAACACCTTACATTAAGCTTACTTTGCGCTATTAAGTTTAAGCAGCTTTCAACGCCCCGCCGCAGAAAAGCTACGGCGCTAATAGGATGTACTCGCCTTGTGTACTTCAACCGAGTGAAACGCGAATTTAGATGTGCCGTTCTTAACGTTCCGCTCTTATGTTTTTCATTGTTGTCACATTTACAGATTAATTAAAATGCATTCAGATTGCACTTTTAAAGAATTAAGATTCGAAGTACCCAGAGAATTTTGTAGATAGAATTTTTATTGTATGAACCCGAAGAATGAGCGTTGCGCAAGTTTGATAGTTTAAGTGGTAGTAAATAGGAGAGTTTGGAACTTCATGTAAATTTAATTCCGTGGGCTTTCTGATTACAGGATCAAGTTTGTTAACGGTATCAAGGATTCTCTTTAAGACGCCGATTGGAGCTTCGTGCTAGCCGTTTCAGCCGTGCATGTCCGAGTTTGGTGAGTTTGCTCGATCTGAATCGTATTTGCAATCTATTTCCATATCTCGATAAATAATCATCGGGCTACTAGCTTTAAAATCTTGAAACCGTATCGCATATTTCTTTGTACGTTTAACTAAACGCTATCGCAGTCCATCGTCGAGCCTAATAAACGAGAATGTTAATTGATCGAAGAGAATTCTTCTTCGATAATTCAATTTCTGAGGAAAGAAGAAACTTACATCTAAAAACAAAAGAGAGACAGAGAATGAGTCACTAATTCGTGAGCAGTGATCAGAGAAACGTGAGAAGAGTTTTACGAGTATAAAACAGACTTTTACGATTCGTGATACGTAAAACCGTGAGCGACAGTAAACACTTTATTACGACATCAAAGGGTAGCGTTTACGAAAATTGGTCACCGCCCCATTGTGATACCTCGCACATCGTATAACGCATTAATATCGTGTCATAGAATATTTCGTTTATATCTGAGCGTAACTGTAATTTATTCCGCCAATCGGAAAGTGCGTCCCTCGATATGCATACGAGCATCTGTTTCCTCCGGTGTGTTCATCAATCGTTGAAATTGTTGCGCGTTTTCGATTCCCAAATAATTGATACAATTTTGTTAAATTCAGTGGTGACACAATTCATGTATTAAACTAGTTTTAAATGCATTCTAAAATTTTCATCAAACGCTCGTTGATCAGAAACGTGTTTGAACGAGATATAGTTTATTTAAAAGGAGTTCTTGATTTATCTAATCAATCTAACGAGATCATCGACAGCGTTTACAATTAGTCACGATATTCCTTATGGGAATTGAAATATTAATTTAACCGTGTTGAAACGGATGACTGGGTTCATAAAATATCGGCCTGTTAATACGGCATGGTCGGCCGTCGCGTCGCGCGAAAATTCATTTTCAAGTGACAAAAGTTGGCCGCAAAGTTAACACCGGCATAAGGGAGATAGGTAATGAAAAGAAGGACAAGTCGAAACTTTTTTATGGCGAATTTAACTTTAACACCGGAGCCAGCGGACGAAGGGGCGGAGTCGCGATGGATGGGGATCGAGTATTGGATTACGATGGAATGATTGCTTCTCTTTTAATTAAAAGGGGCGGAAAACGCGTTTCACCCGAGGCCCGGGATTAACTCGGTAAATCCGTGTTATGGTCTTATTGTCGCGAGGGGGGCAACCCCGCCGTTTCTGTTCCTCATAAAACAAGGCGTACGTTACTCGAACGCGTTAACTCGACGGTAAATCAGCCGCTCTCTAAAATATTCATGGTGTTTGCCGGTTCGTCGTCATTCCGAGCGGCACTCGTCATTCGCGTTCGCCTAAGTCGGTGGCCGGGGGTTGAAGAGCGACAGCAGCCGCGCTCCGAGAGAGCGAAACCTAATTTCGAGTGCGACGATAAGTCTCCATGAGCGTAACTCGACTTAATGCAACCCCGAGTATTATTGCCTTAATACCCTTATTTATATTCATCTCCTGAGAGACGCGGGAAAGTTGTGCGGCACGCGGGACAAGGTGTGACGAGCCGTTTCAACCCTTTCTTCGGCCGTCTACGCCGGTAGAAAGCAGCGGGAATTTTGACGGATTAAACCGGGAGCAACCCGGCCCGAACACCGCTACCTCGTTTCGTACACGGATATTGAACGTGAAATCGTAATCAGTATTAATTGAATTTTAGATATTATCCCGGCCGTGAGGGGAACTTTTGATTAAATTTCAAAAAATCACCTGAGGCTGGTACAGTGGCCAGACTTCCCCCCTCGTCTCTGTTAACATCGTGAAAATTAGCAAATTGAATGCATTTTATATTCGGACAATTTTCTCCTGTAGATGAAAGTTGTAACGAAACATTTGAATGGGTACGTTTCACGTTCCTGGCCGTTTGGTCCCCTTTTTTTTATCGAGATCGGCGCTGCCCCGTTCTCGACGAACGTGTTTCATTAACGATGGCAATTAACCGCATCGCGGCGGCGGCGCGCGGGCCGTAGCGAAAAACTCCGCAGGGGAAAAGCGTAAAACTGTAAAAGGTTGTCAGGCTTTGCGGCGAAGTTACCGCTATCAGCGAAAAAGGGGTAAACGCTTCAGCCCAGTTGGCTAACGCGCCGAGAGAAATCGATGGTTAATGGACAAAGTTGACACCGTTACAACATCCCGAAACTGCTTCGGGAAACTACCGACATTCGTTTCACTTAGGCTGCTTTGCCCTTTCCGGTTCTTCGGCCAGCCCGTTTCCCACTGCCTCGCGTTTCTCTGTATTATCCGATACTCGCGCCAGCTCATTCGTTCAACCGTCGACTCTCAGTCAGTTTCATACAACAGATGAAGCGATATAGATTGTTCGGCGGTTGCTCGATGGCCATTGATTCTGCCTGTAAAAATTTACAAAGGGAGCGAACGATTCGATAAATCGTAGACGTTTCGAACGAATTTTATCATTTCGAATAAAAAAATATTTTGGGCAATAGAAAACGGTTGAATTCTTTCTCCCATTATTCCCTGAGTCACGCCAGATAAGTCGTTGAGTAATTTTCTCGGACAAGCAAAATCGTTTTAAGACCTGATGCTGTTTCCCACATGCGACCACCGATTCCATTTCCGTGGCTCGCGATCGTAGCTTTTCATTTGCCGATTCGAAGACGAGGTTAGCTAGCTTAAAAGGGGCGTGCGGAAGGAGAAAAGCAATCAGGCAGTCAGTAAAATTTCGGGATGTCCCCCTAACGAGCAGGCCAATCTTGATGAGTAAAACGGTTTTCGGCCATCATCAACCCGTTTAGATTAACGGGTCCGCGCCCAGAGCCCTGGAACTTCATATTACGTTTCCGGGCTTGTTTGTTTCCTCCTCTGTCTCTCTCCCTCGTTCCCGACGATGCACTGCCTGCGATTTGTCGCAGCTAAATGCAATTGTCCCCTTATTTCTTCGATAATTGCGAAATCGGCTGATGAAACGAGACTGTAAACATGTATGTAGCTCTGTCCCCTTTTTGCGAATGTACACACGTACAAATAGTAGACGGAGCAAAGGGGGGATTAAAAAGGGAAGATTATTAATCGCCGATCGGGTCTGTATGGAAACCCGAGTGAGCGAGTACCTTTAGATTGAAAACCGAGGTCGAATCGACCTTTTCCTTTTTTCCATTAAACGCGCCGCGACTGTCTTTGCTCCCGGAGGCGAGACAGGGATCCTTTTCATAAGAAAAACCAGCTTGATATTTTATATTTTATCGATTTTTCGTGGGTAGAACAAATCTGTGGCTTAGTGCAAAATGTAATGTCACACTATTCCAAAATAAGCTAGAACGAGATATTCAATTTCTAAATGATTGTTTATATATATTATAAACATGAGGTCGCGTTAAAAAGCGAATGGTTGCCTTTTATGTTTTAAAAATATCAAAACGCCTGATGATTAACAGTTTCCACAACTAACAAACTTAATCAGGATCTCTATTAAAATTTTATCAACAGTTGAATCATTCGATAACTCGCGGATAAACGAAACTGTCAGACGCACGAGTTTCAGTTCGTTAAAACTCCCGGCTCTAAGTACGTCAACGTATTTTTTCATCCCTCATTTCTTTACGAACGAATTTAATGAACTCGAACGAGTGCACAGAGGAAACAGTTTACCTATCTAGTTGGAAACAAACTGCTATTCGAATAATTGAGCAATCAGTTTTAATCAATCTCGCGTCGAATCAAGAATCTCGCGTGATACCCGTTCGCGGGCTCGACGTAAAATTAAATAAGCTTCCCTCTGAATGACCGTGGCAGAGCGATAGCATCGCTTCCATGTTGAAACTAATCCCGTTTCGTACTCTTTAATCCAGCGTGTGTAATTTTGAGCGATGAGGAATTTGCATTCTTTTATAAAGAAATAGTTGAGCTAGTTAATTATTGTTATAGACGAACGGTACCTCGGTTTTTAAAGAAAATAAATTCGTAAATTTAATCAGATTATAAAATAAACTTTTTCAACGTACGTAGTTCATTGTTAATTTTGCAAACATTAATCCGAGTGCGTAATTTTGAGTGACAAGGAATTTGCATTCTTCAAAAAAAAATACTCGAGCAATTTAATTTTTCTATACATAAACGGTGGTGCCTTAGTTTTCTAAAGAAAGGTAAAGAAGATAAATGCAATTAAATTAGAAAATGAGTTTTTCCAAGCTGCCTGGCTTCTGAGAGTTCGAGACACGAAGTAATCCAGTGCATTATAAATTTTTACAAGCGAGAGCTTAATAGAGGCTCGTAGACTGTTCTTCATAGAAAGTTACGAACTATTGTCCATTATAGAGGATTGTATGCAGAGACGTGTCCATTGATCAGGCTAATTGGCGAACATTAACTTTCCGCGTGAGCTTAGCTTTGATCTCTCAATGGATGAGTTGATTCATCGCGCCGCGCGCTGTGAGGAAACTTGCGGGAAACTTGTTTACAACGTTGTTCGAGCTGCCAGCAAAAGCATCTCGCGCAGCCGATTCATCGCTTGGCTGATAATAACGCTAGCTTCCGCTTTTTTTCCTTTTAACAATTTCTCTGATGGTTTCCTTCAGAGAGATCAAAATCTTCTTCGCTGGGCTGAGTTAACAAGATGAAAATTAATAGAAAAATCTTGCCGGGATAGAAATTTAAATTAAAATTCTGTGGTTCCATTAAAGGATCAGTGATACCGTTTGCTGAGCTTTAGGTTTTCGCAACTATTTTTCTATTTGACGAAGTAATTATCTTCGTTGAGTCTCAAGTGGTAAATTTCGGTTTTATAATTAGATTTATAGAAAAATTGTAGAAAATGCTTG